TTTTGCAATATTCTGGGGAAGGCGGAGCCGAACCTTGCGGCCTCGGGGCATGGTGGTTTTTAGAGGCTGGCAGCCGTTCTCGGGGCAGAGGTGAGATCTGCCCGCGGGCGCGCCGGTTTCTCGGGCCAAGTTTTCAAAGAACAAGAGGAGCTTTTATTGAAAGAGGAAGGGGAAAAAAAAACAACAAAAAAAACAAAAAAAAACAAAAAAAGGAGCAAAACAGGATCAGAATCCCGTTCGCGCCCACACAAGCTCCGGCTCCTCCCAAAGGTCGGGGCGCTTAATCCGTCATACATAATAGAAGGAAAAAAATAATAAGGTATGCAAGAAGAAAAGAATAATGCAAGAATAGGACCGGATTGGGCCGAGAGGCCTCAGAAAGGCCAGGCCTCGGCTTGCCGCAGTCTGGGGGGGAGGCCGGGGAGGAGGATCGCTGGAGGGTCGGGAGGTCGTGGGGAGGTCGAGGCCGGCTGATGGCGCCAAGGAGCGAGACCCCTCGTCTCTACTAAAAAAAGTAAAAATAGAAAGGAAATTTAGTGGGAAAAGTAAAACGAATATATAGAAAAAAACGGCCGGCGGCGTGGAGTGCATGGGCCTGGTTAGTCCGCAGGCTACTCGGAGGAGGAGGCGAGCGGGAGGCCTCATGCTGAGGCAGGAGTCGGGGAGGCACTCGTGAGCGAGGCTGATCCACCACGAGCTCGCTCCAGCCCGCGGCGACAAGGACAGAGACTCCCGCCTCAAAAAAAAAAAAAAAAAAAAAAGACCCTAATCGTGGCGTGCCTCGGTTTCCCCATCTGAGCCCGCCAGCGATGGGAGCCTGGGGCGGCTGCCATTTTTCTTTCTTATTTTTGTTTTTTTCTTGTCGTCGTTGCTGTTTCCTTTCTATTTTTAATTGCTGTCAGGCTGGCCTCCAACTCCTGACCTCGAGCGAGCCTCCAGCCTCGGCCTCCCTCCCCGAGTGCCGGGGCGACGGGCGTGGGCCTCCACACCCGGCGGGGTCCCTCCCCCCAGTTCCTTCGTCCTGAGGCCGGGGAGGAAGTCTGGGACCGGCCTCGTCACTCTCGGCCTCCAACAGCTCTGGCAGGAGGAAGAGAGTCTGGGAGGCCCAAGAGGAAGGCCGGCCTCTAACTAATAGAGTTTGCTGACTCACGCCCGGCCTTTTTTTTTCCGGGGCCGGGGGAGGGGGGGGAAGCTGCCGGGTCTGACACGGGAAGAACCTCCCCGGCCGGCCTCCACCTCCTGTTCCCGCCCCCCCCCCCAGCCAGCCTCCCTTTTTTCTGAGGCCCAGAGGAGGCCGGAACCGGAGGTCGATCTCGAGGGTTCCCCAAGCAGAGGCGCAGGGCAGAAAAAGCAGGGCCACTTCCCCATTCCTTCACACGCGATGTCACGCAAGGCCCGTGTCACCGATGACGGAACGGAGGCCCGCCTCCCTCCGTGCCAGGGGGGGCGGGGAGGTGACTGGGTCAGTTACCTGTTCACTGTGGGTTTTTTGGAGCCCGAGGTCCCTCGCTCGCCTCCCGGGCCGGAGTGAGCGCCGGGCGTCGGTCCTCTACTAACGGCGGCCTCCGCTTCCCTTGGGATGAGCCGGACGCCTCCCGCCTCGGGCCTCCTCTCCGAGTAGTTAGGCCCGGGACGACAGGCGTGAGCCTCCACGCCCGGTCTGTTTTCTATATATTTTTAGTCGTCCAGTCCTAATTTCTCTGTTTTTTATTTTAGGTAGAAGACGGGTCTCGGCTCTGGGGCTCGGCTGGCCGCTGGACCTCGACCTCCTGACTCGAGCGGATCCTCCTGCCTCTCGGGGTGGCGGTCCTTGTGCCCGGGGCCTCTGCCTTGCCGGCCCTTAGGGACCGGCGCGGCCCAAGGCCGCCCAAGGCGGGAATAGAGGGCAGAGGGAGTTTTTTGGGCGGTTTCGGAGAGCGCGAGAAGGCAGAAGAGAGCTGCGTGGGGCCCCCCTGGGGGGGAACCAGAGAACACCGTAGATGAGGTCAATTAACACAAAAACATAAAATAAAGAAAAAAAAAAAAAAAGGACGAATTCCTCTCAGGCTATTTATAAGCCCGCGGCCTGAATCTTCAAGGATAACATTTCGTCGCCCCGAGGGAACCGGAGCGAGTAAGGCTGGTTAACGGAGTCCGCCCGAGCCCGGCCGGGCCGCAGACGTGCTCCTGCTGTCGATCCCCGGCACTCTGGGAGCTCCCGAGGAGAGAGCGACTCGCTCGAGGTCCATGGAGTTGGAGGCAAGCCTGAGCCAAGAGCGAGACCAACCCGTCTCTACTAAAAATACGAAAGAAAATTAAGTTGGGCAAGCTAAAAAAATCATATAAGAAAAAATGAGCCGGTGCGCTAGTGGCGCCTGCCTGTCCGGCAACCAGCTAACTCGGGAGGGAGGGCGAGGGCGGGAGGCCTCGCTGGAGGCCAGGAGCGGAGGCTGCTGTTGCAGTGAGGCTGACGGCCACGGCGCTCGTCTCCAGCTCCGGGCGACAGAGCGGGACTCTGTCCTCAAAAAAAGTAAATACGAAATATCAGATAAAAATTTTTTTTTTTTCTAATTTTTTCTTTCTTTTCCCCTTTCATTTTTATTTTTTTTTTTTTTTTTTTTGACTCTTTTTGTCCCTGGAAGGTTTGCAGCTCTTTTAGTTTTTTTTTTAATGCCTATATTTTTTTCTTTTTTCTATTTCGTTTATTCTTCCTCTATCTCTCTTTTTTTTGTCGTCTCGACGCTTTCTTTTTTTTTCGCAATTGGGTGTCTTCGCGCAAGGAGCCTGCAGCTCTTTTTAAGTTTTGGGGTTTTTTATAATGCTTATCATCTTTTTTTCTTCCATTCTTTTTTTGTTTACTTTCATTTTTTTTTTTTCCTTTTTTTTTTTTTAACAGTTTGATGTCTTGAAGGTTTGCAGCTTTTTTTTGTAAAGGAAAAAAGGGGAAGTTTGGGGAGAATTA